CTCCTACCCGACCTAGTAAATGGACTTATTAATGACATTGTAGCATTAAGACTTTACTAAAGAATAACAAATACAAAATATGTAATCATTGGGATATTTCGTCACACCAAAACGACTTAAAAGAAACCTGTCTTGTCGTGTACAAATTATGTGTTGCGCAGCTCCCATCCGGCTTTGACCACTGACACCCTGCGGCTTTTGACCAAAATCCGGTGTCAGCCATCAGGTCGCAGTCACAGCTGTGAGAGACATCTATGAACAAACCCTATTAGCTGTAGCGTCTCGAAACTTCTCATAGAGTAGAAGAAGGCAATGAGTGAGGCTGGATACATGTACTCCGAAGGAAACAGAGCAAATGGACCTGAGCATGGCAAGAAGGCCAGTCCACGTGTACAAGGATCAGACAAATACTAACGTCTGGTAGTCACATAAACAAAGCATTACATTAGCTGCTGGTCTTCATTGTAGTCGAGCATGACAATAACACCTCTTAGCGGGCATATTGAATTCCCACTGAACACGCCTCACCGTAAGAAGTAGTCCTAACTTTCTGATAGAGCTAGTATAGTTCCATCCCATTAACACTTGCATCAGCGCCTCACCCATCGTCCACCCAGCTGCATTTTACCCTCCACTGAGGGAGGTGGGGGAGATATTTTGTGGTCGCTCCCTTACCACCTTTATATGGGTACAGTGAATGTGTCCATAACAAACTTTAATGAATGATTCGCAGACCGTATTGTTCTATTGTTGAGCACTTTTCATACAGACAATGAGACTGAGACAGTCACAGAACGTGGCCATCGCTCTCAGACATGCTGCTACGGGTCGTAACACTATCCCGTCCTGTAAAAATTTATCTACTTGCAGTAGAAATCGGAATAGATGACCTGTTAAATCAGATCTGCTCCTCTAAACTGCCAAAGTAGCGAATCGGGATTCCTTTAAGGCTGAGTATGATAATGCACTGCCGAAATAGAGAGAATGATAGGGCAACCGAGGTGATCCGAAGGGGAATACTGGCAAGGTTAAGAAAAAGAAAAGTATGCTACAAATGCACTGTCCACCGACACTGTGATAGTAACGACAGCAATTGTAGTGTCAAAGTGCAGAACAGCCGAGTAGCAAAGTGGCTGAGCCCCGAGCTTCAGCGCAATTAAAATGGCAAGGCGAATGATAATGAAATGAAGCAATTTCTAGGCCACAGGTTTACAGCTGGTGTTAAAATGCTCTACCCTGTCATCCGCCTCGAAGTTGACATTGAGTTCTCTGCCACACTAGGCTTTAGATGAACGTACTTTCACCTCAGCCATCAATTGATCACCAAATCTACCTTCGACCTGTTCGTTTCGAATGTTACACTATAAATTTTGACCAAATTCATTTCATGTAAAGTAGAACGACATCGTGAATGATAAATGGCTGCAACAGTGCAAGAAGCTTACAATAAGACAAATGAGAAACTGAAGCTCGGTGGCAGGAAAAAGATCTACACAGCCAGTCAAAGCCCAGGCCATGCAGTGTGCAGTAGCACCTAGGGCAGTAGAAGACCATTCCTGAGTAAAAACTATCTATTCAGCAAAAAGTAGAGGAATTGCATCTTTTAGCATAGCTTCGAGGTCGTCAAAGTCAGTAAGTCGAACTAGGCATTGCCTGTGATCCTACATCGTCTGAGAGCCTGTCCTACTCGGACCTAAGTGGATGTGGTGCCAATCATACAACAGACTAAGACAGCTGAGTGTTTGCAAGATCAAGAATGTGGATAATCAGATGGACAGTTGCGCAGCATAACTCCTCAAAGTGGGTAATAACTGTGGCTTGAAGCCCGCTCTTAACCAACGTTACCGATGGAAAACCCTAGCTAAGGCCAGATAAGAGAAACATTGAAGAATTCCTAAAACTCCATCATATACATATTTACCGCGCAAATATACAAAAATTAGTCACTTCTAATCATCCTCACTGTCGGTGTCATCACTGGTTTCTTCTTTGCTTCCTTCGTCCTCTTCCTCACCTCTCTCCATCAGTCCTGACAAGAAATCATCTCTATCGCAATCTGCACTCCTCGAAGTGACCTTAGATTTCGCATCCCGTCCCCACGTCTTTACCGTCCCCTTCGCCCCTGCCACTACCCTTGCTGACTCAACGTCTGCTTCCGATGGAAGGTGTGCCACGGACCAGAATTTGAGACACGGTGAGGAAGGAAGTGCACTAGCTACCAGAGGCACAGCTCCAGAGGCAGGAGAAACTGCTAACGTCATGCAATCACCACCACCCTTTGCAGTGTCATCGGCAGTATGCCACCCGAGACATGTGAGCATGCGATTGGGGAGGATGCTCATCGGGCTAAAAAAGCAGGGAGAGGTACATGCAATTGACAGGTTAAGAGAAATGAAATGATTTTGTTGAATCCTATAATTAGTTCCAAAAAAACAACAACTTGCCAGAGATGTCAAAATGAAACGGACGCCTAATTTTTAATTTCATACGATAACATAAGGCACTTGGTGCACATATCGCAGCCCAGTTTAGTCAGTACACCGACTGATTAAGAATGTCAAGCAGCAGTGGTAGCGCATGCTCATGTGACAGCGTGCAACGGCGAAGAGACTCAGGGAAGGAGGGGAAAATGACTTCAGAAAGCGCCTAGATCATTGATAAGTTCTACACCTCAATGATGGGACATACACTGGCGCAAATGACGATCCTACGCTGCAGTCCTGTGGGACTCCACTGATGTGAATTGCAGGCACAATTTTGGGGAAACGACAAAAACCAGATCGAAGAAGAACGTTCGCTCGCTGGTTACAGATGCAGTGATGAAAGCCTCTTCAGTCATTAACTAGACACTCCAAAACTGGTGCACAAAAGTTCATAATTGAGCCAGGAATCAAAAACCAAAGTGACTTTCCATTTTACAAAATGAAAGCCTTTATCCATAATGCCATGACACCTTGATAATTGCATGCATAGAGGGCTTTAATTCAGAAGTCATAACAAGCTATTAAACCTTGCTTTGTTCCAAAACTCAAACCATCAAAAAATGAGGAACTACTAAAAATAAGGCATATTCAAGACATTCTTCCGTTGGCACTTAATACAACAATAGTTTTACGATGAAAACGAAGAGTAAATGAATTCACATGACCAGAAGCTCACTTAAATACTGATGTGCGACAGTAGATAAAACCACCAATGCTACTGCAGACTGACTGCTTCGACTTACCTAATAGCCCCATCGTCTGTAGCTACGACAATAACATCCTCTGTGACTTTGACAATCTTCTCCACTGCTGGATAACCAGCCTCATCAAAGAATTTCGTGCCCGAGCGATGGTCAACCCAAGTGCGACTCGTCCGAACGGGGAATCGATCGCAGACACTACCAAATTCATTCCAATTGTAGGTCAATATCACTCCCTCATCAGTGCCCAAAAGGACCTTTCTACCGCTTTTAACGGAGCATACTGAACGAGCACTGTAGCCCAAGGGCTCAGAAACAGTCTCAAGTCGTCTACGTCTAATATTGTACGTGACAAGACATCCTGATTCCACAGCGGCGAGCAAGGTGCCTTGAGGATCGGCCCCAACGCCCAGATCGTTAATCCCGCAGACATCCGCATCCATCTCGTCTAAATTGGGTTTTATAGTGAAGCAATGTCCTTCTTTCAGTCGATCGTCCCACATCTGAATCAGATGTGAGCTATTTTCAGTGAACCCACTTTTATCATACCGTCATCGTCTCCTGTTATCCACCGATGATCGGTGACAGCTAGCAATGCAGAAAATGATGACGAATCTTCCATTCTTGCGTAGTAACCAATCCGTTTCCCTGTCTCGATATCATGAATCTTTAGAAATGCCTGGCTAGAAGCCGTGATGCAAGAAGTGGGGGAGAATGGATTGACTATCAAACATCTTATGGACTTGTGCCATCGTTTTTGGTAAAGAGTTTGACATGCACCTCCTGAGCAATCAAGGCTGGAATGAGAAAATAGTAAATCAATAAAATCAGAAATTACATCCTTACGCGACCACCAGTGGTACCAACCATTAGCGTATTCTTTTCATTTGAGGGTAAAAAACATAATGATGAAATGCCGTCAGTACCTATAGGCAATTGAATGTTGGATGGGTAACACGCGCCATCCACCGTGCTACGCATGGTTTGGCGTTTTCGCAAACAATTTGCATCGTGGTTCAAGGTCATAAACCATTTGCAGCATCTAAAGTATTTTAACATGCAGAACATATTCAGTACCGGTTTCTGGAATAAGCTAGACTTCGAACTTAATAAAGGCTCAGTACTCTTTTGTTGTAAATTTACTGATAATGCCATATTTTTGCAATACAATTACGTGGAGGGATATATATTCTAAAGATAAATTGCTTCTGAGTTAACGCAGAGCAATGCGTATTCAAAAATGTGGCATGTCAAAGTAAAATCGAACGATTATTCCTTGTTAGACAGAAGTAAGAATTATAACTGTGGCGCCTTGTGGTTTCTCACCGGATAAAAAGGCATTAAGTCGGGTTGAATGCATGCACTCAAGGAAAAAAGGAAGCAAGTAGTCTATAACTTGACAAAAAGCTCCTTCAGGAGCATGCTAATATACAAAAGAAATAATCGGTTGTAAAGATAGCCTAATAAACATCGCATTACAGTTATAGTACAAGACTTCATAAAATTGTGGGGAGCATATGGTATTCATGGCCAGCTCAGGCAAGTAAAGGCATGACGAATGCCAATTTACATGCCAGGGTATCTCACGAATCGCTTTAAATCGTTTAAATCGCCGAAGGGAAGATACAAGTCTATGTTTAAAGGCGAATTCCATGTCCCTTGGCGCGATTTTGGTGTTGTTATTTGTTCGCGACACTTGTCGCTGCTGGACTATTCCTTCTAAGTCTTTTAGATATTTAGATGACTTCTTAACATTAGGATGAAAAATGCATTTATGAGCTTAGGCTCTTTTATATAAGACTGCCTGCGCGACTAGCGGTCCCTTTAATGTTTATCGTGTTCTTGGCTGTGTGAACTGGTCTACAAGCCAAGTACAGGCGTTTGGTTTTGCTTAATGTCTTCTTCAGCCTAATGAGAAATTTCGGGATCTCACAACCCCAACTCTCAGTTAGAAAAGTAGTCTACGCTTTACACTACACAAGGTGAAGCAACAAGCCGAGCTATTTAAAATGCTTCAGCATGTTGCCACTTGGTATGGGAATTAAACAGTTAAGAGTGTAATGTAATTTTGAGCAACAATAACTGGACAATTAGGAGTAATTAGAAAGTACCAACAGGTGCCGATTGGCGTCGAGATATGGGTAAGTAAATCGTGATATTTAGCCAATTTGATTGTTTTAATGTATTCAGTTGTGAAAGCGCTTCAAACTAGCGTTAGGTTTGCAGTCACCTGCTAGATTTATTTAGCACAGAAATCAAATAGTTGTAGAAGGGAAAATCACATTCGCAAAGCAGTTTTTCCTTCACTCATTCTTATGCAACAAAAAACAGGTGGTGTCATTTGTGAAGGATCCGATCACTGCACCGAATATCAACACATGTGTAGGTGAAAGGTTCGCTCATACGGGATGAGGGCCGATGTGGCTGTCATGCAACCGCCTTTTTGTCATGCTTTAAGGGGGATCTGTGCAAGTGGGTGTTCTGTTCTCTCAACATAGGCTAAGGAGAAGACCTTATTTAACTGGTTTTATTCGCTTATTCGTCCAGCTTAGCATGCATTGCTGCTACTGCCACCAGCATTGGATGCATTTAGCTACGTTTTCATACGATTTGGTGAAGATTTTCCGAGTAGCAGAATAGATTTGGATTGTGTGATCTCTCCCGTTCTGTTCACAATAATCCCATCCGTCCTGCTTTCACAGGGAACGCTTTGCTAGGCAAGGGTGTAATGGTCGTGCTCAGGGGTTAGCAGGCTTGACTTGAGGACCATCAACTAGGATGAGGCGGGCCAACAACGGAGTTCCAATTAAATGCTACCTCCCTCCTACAAAGGACTCTTTTAAACACTCAATACGCACCACAGGATAGTTATTGTCGAAAGTCAATCGAGTACCATGTCGTTAAATATAGAAATACTTGAAAGGGAACCGAGCTTTTAGAGCATGCAATTAATGGTAAAACGTAGAATTTAAAGTTGGCATTGCATTCCATTCCTTTTGATGAATCATGCATTGCCCTACTTCCCTTTGTAGCCTCTTCAGTCTTCCCTTTTGGTAGTAGAAGCCATAAGGCATGGATAAATGCTCGTATTTAGACAGAAAGCGGGAATGAGAGGCACTGGCTTGGCTCAAAGGAAGTGGCACTTCAAAAAGGGACCAACCTGAATGGTTAAAGGCATTGCCGGTGTATCAAGAACAAGAAATTGCAGTAGATGCCAAACGTGGACGTCTTCTCAGCTCTCCTGCTGCATAGAGGTGGAAGAATCTCCCTTCCAAAGTAAACGCCGAAGTTTGTCAGACGCTTTGGATTTCCTCTACCACCAGTGCAACGCCTTAAGTCTTCCTATGAGGTAGCTGAAGGCATTCGGTTAACTTGCTTGTTTGTCTACGAGGAGAGGTTGCCCTTTGGCTCAGCCCCTAAGTCAACCCACACAACCAAGATCGAGACGAACACCAAAGTGACCGCCAGTCGAGTAAACAAGGCTCCATAGCACATGTCTCCCTCCATCACCATCCTTGGAACCGACAATAATCTCGCACGAGAAGTGGATTTTAACCACCTCCACCAGTACTTCAATCAAAGCCCCGAAAGATGCGTATGTCTTTGCCAACCATTCCAGTGCTGAGGGATTGGTGTAAAGGCTTACAAGATTTCGCTTATCAAAATCAGGAAAAAAAAGGAGGAGTCATGCGCACCAAATGTTGAGGTGCATGGAGGGATACACGACGTCAACATCTGCGATTCACATGTGTACATGTGGTCCTTTGAATGGCACACATGTGCCGCATGAATTTGCGTGAATGAGTGGACTGTGAAGAGTGGAACCACTTTTAGAGTGAATAATTTTTTGCCTATTGCAAGCTAACAATCAAGGGGAGTGAGAAATGGGAGGTGGAAGATGGAAGATCTGGTCGTTGGGTCAAGCCAAAGCTCGTCCTCTTTCCCTTCTGTCTGAGTCTAAGCAGTTTAGTC